GCATCCTTCTGAACAAATGCTATTTGTTTCTTTGCTACTGGGGCACCAGGAGTCCTCGTTATGGATTACTTTTTAGGCACCATGTTTTGATCCCATCCACAATAGCCCAATTCAAAGTTTTAGGTCAAAGGAAACCTTTTAATGGGTTTCCCTCGCTGCTAGACCAGACAGCACCAGCAACGATGTGTCATGATTATTGCTACGACTCTAACTGGGAAGCAGGATTAGAAAACTCCTTGCTGTCCTCCAGAAAGGGCATTCAGCTGCCTCCAAGTACAAAGCTACATTTTAATGAGTTAAATTTCATATAACCACGTACTTTTAATAAAATATTAATGGTACTTCATTTTAGTGTCTCCACAGGGATAACTTCCTAATTTCCACTCAGTAAAATACTGTTCCCCTCAGTTATTCATACATGTACTGTCTCGGAAGTGAGTTTTCAAGCAAGACTATGGAAAAAAGTAATCTGAATCGAGCAGATCTTCTTCCTGCGTTTACTTCAGATCACCTTAGTTTGCCTTACTGACAGTAGATTTGTGCTAATTTTTATTTTTTGTTAGCATCACACCTCCTCATGCAAACTCGCACACAGAAGAAGAGCACTGCCTTTCAAGCTGTGGACTCAGAGTTAGGACGGTTTGTACAGCCAAAACTCAACAAAGCAGTAGGGCTCAGATCCCAACCTGTTGGCCACGAGATGCAGTGTTAATCTGCAAACTGAGCAAATCAAAGACAAACTGGAAAGCAGTTCCACAATGCCAATCTCACACTCACTTTCCACAGCACCTCTAACTTGCACCTATTACCTCTTCCTTTGTTATTAAAGCCCCTGAAATACAATCTCAAGTAAGTTAATAGCTGCTCTATAATAGCATCCTACCAGCTACATGTCACAAGTACTGTTCTAAAATTAGAAAACATCAATCGCCTTTTTTTTCTTATCCAGTCTTCTACCAATAATTAAAATGCAATTTCTCAGCATTCCTTGGCTTTTCACTTGCCCACACTTTCACAGATAAGTGAAAGTAGGTACTAAGCTTCACATCTCACATACCCAAATCTCTGCAGGGTGCTTGCAGAAGATGCTTGGATTTGGCAGATGCAAGGCGGGCTGTAGGCAGTGCTGGGTAGGTCTGCGCTTCTTCACATATCAGGAGAGTTTCACCTCGCTGTTGGAAGTGGGAATGAAACATGTTTGGAGAGAGTTTTATAGAGGGGGGAGCAGCGCTAGCAAGTCATCCATATAACCACAAAGCTAAGTTTAGTTCATCCCAAATCCATGTTCATTTTTAAATTATTGGTCTAGTAGTGCTGTTTTAACTCAAAAGAAACTTGAGGACAAACGAATCAAAAAGCCAAGAATTAAATTTAAAAACACTGTTCTACAGGAACCTGCTATGCACACACAGAAGGGGCTCAGCTGGCACCTGCACGCACCTCATCCAAAAGGGACCTTGCAGAGGACACAGCATTCAGTGCCTTTCCAGAGGTGCAATACTCCACGTGAAGCCCTAGTAATCAGTTTACCACTTCAAAGCTGTACTTGCAACAAACCTGAAACAGCTAACAGCTAAGCAAATTTTGTAGGAAGATATTTTTCCTTTCAAGGCAAATCCTTTTGGAGATCAGAGGCGTGGGGTTATGACTCGATGCTGCACTGGCTAACCAAGAAGGAAAAGAAACAGAGAGGAGCCTTTGGCAATTGCCAGAACAAGGCTTACAACGTTAAAGGTGAGCAAGTATTATTAATTTCCAGCCTTACAGAGGAAATTGCTTTAAGCCTTGCATCTTCAGATCGATTTCCGATTTAATGTCGTCATACCCTAACCATTAATGCCCTTTCCAAACTGCGTATATTCACAAGGTAAAATAACTTAGCTGGGAAAGGAGAAACTGCATGGGAAAGAGCGCACTTCAAATACCACACATATCCTTTAAAATGAAAACAAGCTAGGAAGAAGTTGCTTCCAAGAAAAACAAGGAATACATGGAATAACAGGTTAGTCTGTGTTTTGAACAATGCGTAGGAGGAGGAGGTGGAGGGAAGACGGGCTATGTTATTTAAAATGAAAACAGCATATACTTCCCCCCACATACTGCTCCAAGACGACAGGGAAATTACTGTAGCACGGATTCATTTCAGGTGAAGCAAAAAACAAAACTGTGAACTTTTACTTGGTTCTTTTTCCTAATTGCAGAATATCTGGATAAAGTGAAAATTTACTATATACCAGAAGGGAAGGCTCCAGAGCGGCATTTCACAGAATCAGAGAATAGGTGAGGCTGGAAGGGACCTCTGGAGGTCATCTAGTCCAACACCCCCTGCTCAAGCAGGGTCCTCTAGAGCACATTGCACACGACCCTGGTCCAGATGTCCAGTAAAATTCTGAAAATCTGCAAGGGCAGCAGCTTCCCACCCCTCCAGGCCCTGCTGCACCAGCCACATCAAGAACGTTTTTCCTTATATTTAGCTGGAGTTTTCCTTGCTGCAACCTGCGACTGCTGCCTCCTGTGCTTTTGTTGCTCACTACTTGAGAAGACGCTGGCTCTGCCTTCTCCATAATCCCCGGCCAGATAACTGGAGACAGCAAAATGTCTTCTCCAGGCTGGACAAACCCAGCTCCCTGAGCCTTTTTTCATACACCATGTGCCCCAGCCAGCAAGCATCTTCATGGCCCTTCGCTGGACTCGCTCCAGTACATCCACGCCTCTCTTGCACGGGGGAGCCCAGCACTAGACCCAGGTCACCAGTGCGGAGCACCTCCCTCAACCTGCTGGCAATGCTCTGCTGAATGCAGCCCAGCACGCAATTTTCATTTTAGTAGTATTAACCCAAAGAGAGCTGATCAGCTAGGACAGCATGCAAGCATGGCAAGGACCACGTGGTCCTGCCGCACTCTCAGCTTCAGAAGTGTTAAGGGAACCCTAGTCCCATTGACTTTTAACATAAGTCTTCCAAGCTGCTTTAGAAAATGGCATTTTAATCAGTTACACTGTGACAATTTTGAGCGTGGAGCATTCAAATACGTTTAGAAATGCGTAGTCAAGTGCTGGTTTTGTTCTTTTCAGAATTCTTCAGCTCAGCATCCAAATAAAGGTCTCAGATATCTGGTCTGGGGAGTCTCTGAGAAGTCCTAACACTCAGAAAATGCTGTTAAAACCACAAAGACTTGGTTTTGAATGGAATTTAATCATCTGTTAACTTAGTGTTTCATAAAATATAGGATCATTCTTTATTTATGAAGTAGTAAAATTCAAAAGTTTTGCCTACAAAAAGCTACAGAATACAACAGAAACGTTAACTGTCATAAACTGTTCCTGGAGTCCTGAAGAGGCACTGTTAAATAAAATGCAACTAAATTCAATTAAATATAGGAAACCCCTATGAGTGTAATTCACGAGCCCTTATTCAGCATTTTCAGAACAAAATCTGTCTCGGCCTAAGCGTGGAAAAGCACTTGGTAAGGAGTGCTCTGTTTTGTAGAAGGCTGCAGAATGGAAAGCTTTATCAATGTATGAGCTTTCACCATCTTAGCCCTTCCAAGAGACAGTTCCCCCTTGCATTAGAAACAAACAACACAAACACCTAAGCCCAGCATAATCCTTACAACCATCTCTCGACTAGCAGGGTCACGGATCTCTTCTGTTAGCTCAAGAATCGCATGGCCCTGTTCCAAACCTGTTCCTGCTACAGTGATGTGACCTTATCAAAGGATTTTGCTGACTCCTGGAAGATTCCTTTATTTAATATTCTGATACATCTATCTAGGATGGGACTTAACCTTCCTGGCCTGCACCACAGCACTATTTACTTGGATAACTTAGTTAAAGATGGCTTAGCGATGCAAAGTATATTGCTATTATTCCTGCAGCCACAAGTTCTTCTCTGCGTACTGAATCAGCAGCCTACGTGACACTTAACGTCTGTCTGGACTATCAGAAAGAGCTTAAATGGACTTTAATTGCTGAGACTTGAAAAATAGGGGAGCATAATAAAAACAGAGAGAAGAACAAATGCCCTTGAACAGAAATGAGGCTTGCTGTCCACTTGGAGTCTCCTTTCAGAAACACTGCCTCTCCTCCTACTTTCAGTCTCCTGAAGGCATCTCTAAGAGGTGCAAGGACACGTAGAGATGCCATTTAAATTAAATTGTGCCAGAACTCCTGATAAACATAAATAAAAATCCTCTACGGGTTTGCCTAAGTGTTTCGCTGTATATATGTGTACAAAAGTCACCACGAAATTGTCCATTCTGATTAAAATCAACATTTTAAAGGGAAATCCCGATGAAGAAAAAACAGAATGTTTCTCTTTATAATATTTGTAAGTCACAGAAAACTATCACTATGCTGCAGTAAAACATCAGCCAGACTTGGATATATGTATCATTAATGTTGTACCTACACTGCCCCAGGTGGTTTGGCAAAAAATTACCATTGAGTTATTTCTTCGGTTCACATAAAGGAAAACACATTGTAGTCTGACAATCCAGCGTCTTCAGCGGTATGGTATTATTCCTCTCTTTCCCCTATAACTTGTTCCCCTTCCTATGTGCGCTGTCCCCTAAGCAGAGCTGCACTATGAACGTTTATTCAGTGAGGAAGTTTAAAAATCATGGCAGTTTCTCGACCCTGCTCACTTCAGAGTCCCAGAAACTGTGTATGAGCCCACAGGCTACTGAAGAGGCAAAATCTGTGCCCAAAATAAAGGAGATAACTTAAAATATCAAAATAAAGGATTTCTAACCAAAGCTCTGAAGCACGATTTCCCTCTTCAGCCCTCTGTAGCTGTCTGCCCGTGGGAAAACGCCACCCTGCAGAAGCCATTTCCTAGTTGAGAGTCAGCATGTCGGAAACTGAAAACACACGGTCAGTGAAAGCAATAATGAACAATTAGCACATGCCTCATCTGCACTTACTTCACTACCGCAGGTAAAGAATGGGCCAAGCCCAGAGGTACTGTGTATCCTCCTGAAATAACATGAGCAATTTCTTACTTTTTCTTGATCTGCAGAAAAACTTGATGCCCCCAGGAGAGGTAGACGGGTTAGAATTGGGGGAGGACTCTTTGGAGGAGGACCTGAAGATCCCACTGAAGCTCATTCGGCGTGGGGAGCGTGGGGGAGACTCCTGGTATGGGAAGGGGAACACTGTTTTGGGTGAGCCGGGGCTATGTTTAGACCTCACAGGGGCAGAAACAGGGCTGGAAGGTCGGTTCTGGAGCCCTTTTGAGAAAAGGCCTTTTGAAGGGCTGCCTGTAGAGTAGCTTTCTTCCACCTGAGGAGGAGAGAAAAAGGAAGAGAAAGAAAAAACACCATTAATTCAATTCGGCTTGTGCCACTAGGTTTTCAGAACTCGTCTCAACACGGTCAACTCTCGTTTATCCGGGCTGCCGATTAGCCAGACCTCACCTTCCCCAATACCTGCCTGCACCAACACGTAGATACCATGTGTGGGTGCCACCTCTTGGGCTCCATGCTGCCCATTGCTATTAAAGACGCCCTGAATTTTACATTAAAAAAATCAACCTATTTACATATATTTTGTATTAATCAGGATTTTCTCTACCGGTTTTATTTGCCACACATCTCTCTCCCTCTTCCTTCCCTGGAAAACTGAGAGGTGACTAGCAACCCATTTAGGGCAACGAACTATCCTCCTTAAATGAATGGAGCGCCTCGATGTCTTCCTAGTGAATTTAAGCACCCATCTACAGGGTTTAAATGTTCATTGCACAGCGTAGACGGCGCAAGACCCCAGACTGCCTGACAGGTCCATACAATGCCGGACAGAGCCACGCAGGGACTTCAACTCTGGCCTCAAATTAGAGCAACCATTTCAGAGTGGCGACGTTCCAGCTCATCAGCCCAGCCTCGAGCTTGGGTATGACCCTTCTACCTACTGTATCTCTTTTTGGACCTGTACCGGCTTTCCGGCTAGCCGGAATATCTGTGCACAACACAGCATTGCACTGTTTAGGGTTGGTGACCAGGAGAGGGCAAAACCCTGAAAAACAAAAGAAGCAGCACAGATGAGATTCTCCCCACATACGATGCGCAGAGGCCTACTCAGACCGCCATGGGATTTGCTTGTACGCGGGCTATACGTAGAGTCTATTTCCTCGCACATGCACAAAACAGTTCTGTGGGCATGAAACTTCTTTTTTATCAGGGGTCATTTCTCACGAATGCAGGGCTTGTTCGTGGAAAAAGGGAGCAGCAGGTTCCAGGCCTGCAGGGAACACGGAAGCAAAGGCTACGTTTTAAGCGCACGCAGGCACAAAGTGCTGCGTCCTGCATGAGCTGTGCTGAGCTTCCAGCCCTCTCCATGCCTGCTCCTGTATTCCCAACCATGCAAAACAAAACAAAGAGGTATGGAGGGGAGAACCACACATATCTGAGAAAATGCCAGGTACACATGCTATGTGTTATTCCAGTTAGATAAGAGTGTTGTTGCCATGGGAGTCAAAGGACATATGCAAGCCAAGGGAGAAATAACGACGTTTATTGGAATGACTTAGAGGAAAGAGTAGATGAAAGAAACAGAAAACCTCTTGGGTGCACATGCCCTTCCTACAGGTCAGTAAAGGGCTTGTGGAAGTTAACTCAACTGACTGATTTTGGCTAGATTAAAAACAGACAAGCAATTAGCTCCCCTTTCAAATCTTGGTTTGCATGCTTATCCACAGCTCCAAATCATACCCGCAGAAATACGCAGGGGCAGCACGATGGCCAAGTGGCGGCTCCATCTGTACCATGGGATCACACTCCTCACGCTCCTTTCCTTCTCCTGCACGTGCACTGTGGACCAGCTGCTCTTTCCACGTACGATGGCACAGATCAACCCCAGAGGAGCGCTGGAGTGTGACCTGCTGCGCATGAGCTATGAAAGGGCCTGCAGAGAGCACAGTCCCTTGCTAGAGCACAGTCCCTTGCTAGGTTAAATACCTAAGGGGGTGGCTAAGTAGGGGCACAGAGCCATGCAGACCCAGTAGTGTCCCGGTGGGTGAGCGGCATGGCCCTGAGGAGCTGACGAGCTCTGCGCCGTGCTCCGCTGCCCAGCACGGAGCTGTCTGGCAAAACGTAGAACCACTTTTTATACCCGCATGCTTATTTCTGACTGCGTGACAAAACCTCACCAATATCTGTTCTTTTACACCGGCAGGAGAGGTGCAGTCACCCTCAAGGGGAACTGTTAGGAAGGGATAACCCATTCTAAGTGAAGCACTGTGTGAAAAAAGGCAACAACAGATGCTTGGTGGCATCCATCAGAGATGAAGGAGAAGCAGTGTTTCAGGCTTGAGCCTCAGGAAGCAGAAGTTTATCTCCCAGCTCTGTCACAAGTTCTCTGAGCAATCTTGAAAACTCACTTCATGCTGCACACCTCTTTTGTTATGAGGCTGGTATCTCCTTTATTCCCATGATAAGTCCTCTGGCACGCAGACCATCTCCTGGTCTCTACTGTTCATCAAGAACAATAGAGCACAATCCCTCCACTGAGCCCAGGAATAATTACTGCATTATAAATAAATTAATAAACAAATTGCACGTTCATCATGGGTAAATAGTCTCAAAGTAGTAACTTCTTCATGAAAGCTCATTAACTTTACTAAAATATTATCTGTAAATCATCTGAACTAATTTGCATATTGTTTTCCTCGCAACTGCACAGTCCAGGAAACAACCAAGCAACACAACAGCACCTCCTTTTGCATTGCAGTTTAAAGAGGGCTATTGCCAAATCTACCGCTTGAAAGCTGGGGATGAGAAGTGCATTTTCAAGGTCATTATTAATTATACTACAAAGCTGCCACTACTACTGTAATTTAGGACTGTTTTGAGGAGGGTAATTTCATTATAATTTTTCCTGAAGTGACAAGCCTTGAAATTTGTACAGCTAAGAGAAGGAAGGCATTTTGGTGCCATCTTTCATATTTCATGCATTTTTGTGCATGCTTATTTAGTTATAACAAAACACTCCTGAGAGACACTTCAAAAAAAAAAAAAAAAAACTATGGCAATATGCTAAAGCAATTGTAGAGATGTAAAATGTCCAAGAACATTTGTCAAATAACTGCAGCGTCCCCTGTAAGTACAAGTCCAACGTAGAGGCAAATTGTGTTCAAAATCTGTATAGGAGCAGCAGGATGTTTTTATTTATTGCAATCACAACCAGTTACTTTCTTCTCCTCATGCTAGGCAGGAGAATTAGCTAATTGTCTGAGCACCAGGGGGCACACTGCTAAATACACATGTGCGTGCTACTAAATTAAAAGAAATTACTATAACGAGCTCTTCCCCAGCTATTCCATATGTTAATTATACAGACGTTACATCATCAAAGACGATAAATACCTGTGATTTTACTTCAGGAATTACAATAGTATTTCTTTCTTGGAATATTATTTGGGACTAACGCATTACAAGTTTTAAAAGACGATTAGTCACCTCTCTAAGTAAAATCAACGGCAACAACGGATAAGTTATCACAGCAAAAAGACGATATGAAGGCAATATGAATTTTAATATATATAAATATGAATGTAAAAGGCAAAATGAATTTTCTTGCCTCAGCTGGGAATGCAGAAGAATCTCTGCTGAGGTATAAACTGCACCATCTCACGTAGATGCAACATAATGACTCCAGCAGTGGTGCTGGAAGAAGGTTACAGAGCTGGATGGATCATCAGCCTGTTCTTCACGCTTTCTGGATTCATTTCCTGAATTTATGACTGGCAGGTGGGCACAAAACTCCCATATCTGCTTTTGAAATACAACTATTTCACCCAGCTGTGTTGTAGAGGCCAAAAAAGTATTGCAATCTAGTTTCACACACCAAGGACCCTTTCACACCATTTTGTGTTGGTGCCGGGAAACCAGCACCAGCAATGAAAATGAGCAGCAATATGACATACACCTAATAAATACATATGGTGGTATGGCTCTTTTGATCCCGAACAGATAATTAGGCTTTTGGAGATAAGGAATCCAAACACACAATAAAAGTACAATACACCTCAATGCACAAATGAGGTCTAATCAAATCCATTGAAAAACTGCCCTAAGTACTAAGATAGTTCACCTTATTAAAAACACACGCACACACACACACACACACACACACCATCACACACACACACCATCACACACACCATCCCCAGTGCTGGCTTTGTGGAGAGCACATACAGGAACTTTGAGCTCAATGTCTGAACACGGACTCCCTAAACCTTAAAACTACTTATGCTGGAAAGGCAGAAATCTCAGCTCTAAATGTACATCTAGAGAGAACAGTGCCTGAAATAGTCCTAAATTAGCAGACAGGTAACAGAAGAGTACGAGAATGCCAGTGCAAGCCTACACTAACATAATGTGCCCCTCAGCAAGGTTAACTAACCAAGCTGAGATCAGATATAGTTTCTAGCGACTGACTTAGCTTGCTCAAGGCTAACCAAGGTACCTGGCATAGTACTGAGTAAGTACATCCTAAAACGCTCTAAGACACTCTCAGTTTTCGTGCTTCGAAGCACAAAAGGCTCATAGGTTGGGGACTGGGAAGAAACTTAGCTCTGTTGTATGACCTGAACAATCTTATGCAAGCCCCCACAAAACACTCAGAACTGGCTACTGCTGAAAATAAAACAACAGAACGAGGGGTGTCCTACACTGCTTGACATCTTGCACACTTTCTTTCAATTTTTTGAATGAAATGGAAAATGATAGCTTGGCACGTGCCCTGCGCTGGGCATCTCTGGAAGGTTTCAACTCAGGAAACAGCATCCTCAAACACCATCCTCCCCTTTGTCACTTCAACTGGATGTAGGAATCTTTCTCTCTTCCTCGTTCCCTCTTCCTTTCTCATAAGTGCACACGTTATCGGCTCAGAGCCATCCTGTGACGGGCCAGCAAAGCCCCAGCTTTTTTTCTCCCCATCACTTTCAACAGATAAACTCCTGGATGACAAAACCCTGGCATAAACCCTTAGCAGCCCCAGACTATGCCATACCAGGGAATGAAACACGGGAGCTGTGCCAAAGCCCTTCGCTCCAGGGCCAAAAGAATAGTCCCTGACCTGTTTTATTTACTACTACTAGAGACATATGCTGAGTGAACAACTGTGTGTCTTGTGCTTTTAAGATCCATCTATCCTCAAGGTCATCCAGATCTTCCTTTAGAAGGTCGTTCTCTCTGTCAGCCCAGAGAGGAGCTGTAGATACGTCCCCGGGAGAGATGGAAAAAACCCTCTGTCTGCATCATCAACAAATTTCATTAGCGTGCTTC